CCTGATTGTAAGCCAAAATTCAACATCAACAATATGGTTGTCGTACAAATCTGATAGGATGATTGGAATTTTGTTCTAAGATCAGCACAGATGTTGATCCAGGAACATGTTGCACTTGGCAAAGTCAGGTTCTTTGGTTTAAAGCAGTGTTTACAATGAGGGTTAAGCACAGTGTAAAAAGCCCTTGTGAGTTATAAGAGGATGATCTGCTTTCAGGCTTCTGAGATCAGTACCAAGCAACAGTTGGTCTGAAGCAACAGTTTCTTGTTAACAGTGGTTTTGGAAGCTAGTTTTATCTACAAGCCCAGAGGCAGCTGGTGGTCTTCTTCATTGGGTGTTGGAGCTGCCAGAAGGTGATCCCACTATAGATGGTATCTGCTATTACTGTACTTTCAAGACTTGTCATGATGCCAATGATAATCCCATTTACTTAGGGCTCTTGAACAGCTGTCGAGGATATGATCTGGCGTCTCTCTCACCAGGCCCATTGGGCAAGCTGGTGACCTTCCCCCAGCAAAACAAGCTTAATGATATTCCTGCTTTTCTTTCCAATTCATCAGAAGACCAAAAACAACAATGGCAATATGCTGGGCCAATCCCTCCTGATTATGCAGAGATGGCGCCATCTCAGGGGATTATAGTCATAATGAAATCTAAATCGACTCTACTTATTTAGATATGTATATACTAGTGCTTGTTAGAAACAATATATTTTCACTTCACTGTTTTGTAAAAAACGTATTTGCCCTTAGAATCTTTAATCAAATATCACAACCTACCCACCATCCCCTCTTTAAAAATAACTGTTCTGGTCACATGGAATACCTTTCAAGAGAAGCTATCAGGGTTCTGCTCTCCCTTCATTCAATCTTTATTGTTTAGGAATACCCATCTTCTAACAATCCAATTGGTCCTCAAAGGGCAAAATCATGCACTGCCCTACATTTATTTCTCATTTCACGGCCGTTTCAAGTAAGTGTATGTCAAGAAAAAAGGACAATGTACAGCTAAGTTATGCGACGGCAACCACAGGACAATGACACCAGTGCACTCACCACACACTACCATAAGCCATAGAACCAATTCAGTGATGGGGATGATTGGGAGGTCTTGATGGAGAAAGGCTGATGGAAGGAATTTGGCCAGGACATCAGAATTACACCTCTGCTTTGGGATTGTTAACTACCACACAGAGTCAGGACCTCAGTTTAACGTCATAGAGTCCCCATCACTGGGGTATTAGGCCTCACACAGACAGCAGGATAATCCTCCCTGCTGGCCTCACTAACAACAGCAAGTTTTCCCAAATTTCTCCCACCCAGGTACTAGCAATCTTAACTTCTGCTTCATAGCAACTTTAAAGGAGAGAAGAAGGGCTGTGATATTAAATCCAATATAATATACTGTGATCATATACTGTACATTAAAGATCATATCTCCAGTATACTGGCTCTACAATATTTTGACATATCATCGATAATGCAATGTGTGCATCCATACACATCACCAAGCGATTTTTGATTATAATTTTGGGATTTGTGATTATAATTAACCAGAAAACACTTTTTAAAAAAATCTGGGTTTAACCCTAGAGTGGATGATTTTTTGAAGGCCTGTGACTATGTAAGATTTCAAGCGAATTTAAACAATTCAGGTAAAATAAATTCTACAATTTGTAGCTTTAACAAATACTAATTGCATTTTATTATTTATACAATGAAGACTCCCTTTCAATGTAAAATTATGAACTATTTCCAAATATAGTTATTTAACAAATCTTCATATGTTACAACCTCCCTTCGTTAGCATTAGAAGTGAAAGCAGGAGAGGGGGTGTGTTTCATGACATGGATTAGATCAAATTGAACAGGGAGGGAGGATAATATATTTCCATGCACACAAACACATGCTCTTTGTCAGCAATGCCCTTGCGTTCAGTATCCATAGATGTAGAAAAGTGATGTAAAATTATAATTTTCAAAATTTAAAAAAATATATATTTGCATACTGACCACCAGGAAAACTTTGATTAACCACCAATTGTAGATATATGTATAAATGTTTACATATCTATGGATCCGGATGGCCAGTCTTCCACTACACCTTGGTCTCACATTAATTTCAAAGGAGCCTTACCCTGTACTAAAATAGGCAACAACAGCCGAGGTGACTTCTAATGTAAATATCTATGTCTCTGTAACATACTAAAGTGAGGGAGTTGAGTGTGAGTAATTTATATGCTCCAACTATTAAACAGCAGACAACTGTGTACAATTTACTGTTTAATTCTCAATTCACTGTCTTACACTGACAGCAGAACCCAGGAGCCACTATTTCATTGCTAGGGAGGAAATGAAAGCTGCAAACACAATCACTACTTTTCTCTCTCTCAAAGTGGAACTTTGACCTGCTGCAAGAGGTAACGTTTTCTCTCCTCTTTTGGCTGTTATAGCAATATTTCTGTCTGCAAAGAAAGTTTTCTACCACGCCTATTGTGGATCAGCTGTGATAGCTGCAAATGTGTCCTTGTCACTGCTCAGTGAACAGCACTGACTGCCTATCACAACCCTTTCTGTTGAGAGTGTGGACATAACGATCAATCATAGGCATTTAAGGACTCTTTCTAAAAGCAAGCAGGATTAATATTTACATTTGTATATTCATTTTAAATGCGTATGTTGTCTTCTGTGCCTGTACTAGAGTTTTGTTTGATGCGTTCAATTCAATTCAATTCAGCTTTATTTGTATAGCGCTTTTACAATGTAGATTGTGTCAAAGCAGCTTCACATAAATGGTCATAGTAACTGGATCAGGGTAATTTAGTTTTTAGTGTTTAAGTTCAGTTCAGTTTAGCTCAGTTCAGTGTGGTTTCAAGAAGAGTATTTTCATTGAGCAGGTAAAATTAAAGCTAAAGTTTTCTGACTGCACTGTTAGACATTTCAAAGGGTTTTTACAGTAACTTACTGGCAACACTGTTGCCAGTAAGTTACTGTATTTTAAATTTACAGTATACAACTGTAAATCCGTTTACAGCATGTTACTGTAGTATCTGAAAATGGTTAACTACTGTAAAAACCTAAGTTAACAGTTAGCTACTGTAAACCTTTTATTTTGTCCTAAATATTTTATAATATAATTTTATTAATATTATTTTAATACTATAGACCTAAAAAAGACACAATTACAAAATATTAACAAAATAAACACTCTTTATTTAAAACATTGGAGATGCTTAAAACAAGCTTAAAAATGTGTAAAAACATTACATTTCAATCATTCAAAATATTTTATTTTAAGAAAAAAAAAACATTGAAAATGACAAAGCACATTAACATACATGTACAAAACTAATTTAAGTGTCTGACCTGCATATTGTTGAGAAAAAAAAACCCAATTGTACTAAGTACTACTGACATTAAACCAGACACAATTACAAAATATTCCATTCTTTAAAACATTAATAATGCTTAAAGCATTTAAGGAAAATGTGTGAAAATTACATTAAGCAATAAAATCAACACATTAAAAATAAATAAATCACACAAAGCACTAGAACATACATGTACAATAAAAATTTAAACTTCTGAATTGCATATTGTTGGAAAAATAAATATTTGTAACTATTAGCCGACTCAGAAACAACCCAACTTTAAAATATTACTAGTTCTGGTGTCAAATGCTCAACAAGGTCTGAATTCACATGTTCAAATGCAATTCATCTTTATTTCTATTGCACTTTTACAATGTAGATCAATGATGTCAAAGCAGCTTAACATAGAAGTTCTTATAAATTGAAGCTGCTTCAGTCCAGTTTTCAGAATTGAAGCAGTAAATGTCACTGCTGAAAGTCCAAACACTGAAGAGCAAATCCACCGATCCACCAATCGTAGCCAAGCGATCCAGTGGCGACAGTGGCATGGAAGAAACTTCACCAACTGACGAAAGTGTAGAATAAAAGCCCTTGAGTGAAACCAGGCTCAGTTGGGCACGACCAGTTCTCCTCTAGCCAAACTTGTGCAAGGCCGCAGTCTAGGCACCGGAAGCTTGAAAGTTCACCAGCGGGTGGTCAGGCTGGCCCATTGGATCAATGCGGAAACTCATTGATCACGTGTGTCTTTCAGGATTCACTCCTCCATGACCACCACAGCATCTGGTCAGGATTTGGCCCAGTCTAGGATTATGAAGAACTCTGGATAAGGACAAACAGACTAACATAAGCATAGAAGAAGCTTGTTTAAAAAAATAAATCATATACTGGTTAATTATTTTGAAGCATGGCAGCTAGGTTGGGGTAGTTTTCAGCTGGTACTGAGCAACTGGCTCCTGCTCATAATCTGCTCACTACCATGTTTAAAAGATAACTAACCAGAATGTCCTGTTTATTTTTTCCCCTAACAAGGTTTTACAAAAACATTGAAGCATTTGTGATGGGTTGATTCACAGCAGGACAGATTAGACTATTTGTTTTATGTATTCCTAATAAACTAAAACAGACTGAATACTGATACAATTATTGAGAGTGTCTCACCTAATCCAAGTTCTCAGTTAGCTGGTGAAAGAAGGATAACTCACTGTTGTTCATGGTTGTCATTCTCTTCACTACTTCTCCTGCCTTCTTCTGGCTCACTCTGGTTGTTGCTGTGCATTTTGTTTCATCCTCTGGAATTATTTATACAAAATTTTTTATTACTTTATTTAATATAATAATATTTATTATTTAATATTACAAAATATTTAGGCAACATGAAATGGGGAAAAAGACATTTAATACATAGACAAATGCATGTATCCCAATACTAATTATTGTATTTTGAAATGTCTGACCCATGACAGACCTCAATCTGCTCAAAAATATTATAAACAAAGATAAAAAAAACCTACTAAATGGTTTAATAAAAAAGGGAAAAAGATTTTTTATTTAGCTAGCAACTAAACATGTGACACATTTTGTATTAAAAGTAACGTTACTATATTGAGAAACAAATAGATGTACAGTACTTACTGTTGTATGAGGTCCAGTTTGCACAGGCAGGCTCCCAGTATTCTATATTGAGACCATAAAAAAGCCAAAAATACAGATAAGAATACCATGCTACAATCCACAACCTCCACACAACTTTTTTTTTATTTGTTTACCTTGGTTGCTTACTGGTCTTGCTTATTTTTTAAGCATAAGGCTGTGCTGATCAAGATGTTCCTCCGAAATGCTGTTTGTTTCATCAGACAAAACCTGGTGCTGTGCTCGTGCCATATCTAAACAGAAAAAAATATAATGGTAACAATTATGTTAAACCAAATGTAAAGAGTTGTGATAAAAAAAAATAATTAGCAAACAATAAATAGCAAAAAGGTGGTTATTAGCATAATGCATAGAGGTAAAGTTGGTTTTATATTAGCAGATTCAGACTTCCCCCTTAATAATTTAATTTCATAAAAGTATTATTTGCAAACTCTAAATAGCGAAATCATTTTAGCAGCTAATGACTATCAAAGTACAACATGCTCACGGTCAAATAAACAGTGTTAATGTTGATTTCAAGTCATACTGGCATGCTAATTCTGATCGAATATTCAAAGTAACATGGTAAACAGTATAGAGTCTTCTAAATGAACGAATGTGCGAATATAAAACCAACTTTACCTCTATGCATATTGTAGATTTACGTTAACGTTCTTATAGGTTACGTCGCGATGTTATTTTCTCAAGCTAACGTTATAAGTTACTCTAAACCAGAGAAAAATAAGTTCACAACATCTGATATATATAGTATAAATCAATATAAGTTAAACGTTGCACGTTAAAATGAGTTTGAGTTCAATTCAGTATAAACTTAGCTCAGTTTAGCTAACAGTTAACATTACCATTTTAAGATCGCTTCAGCTAATGTTGCCGAGCAAACAAATGCTAATAGAGGTGCTCAAATCAATGTCGAGTGTTGTCAGCACAGACAGACGCGCTTTTACCTGGATTATTTGATGGTCTTTCATTCATATTCTTCTGGGGGAAAACACTCTCTGCCGGACCGTTGTCTCGTGCTAAGTGTCCTCCAAAACTGTCTGCATACCTCTGGTTCCCTCCTAAACCAAAACCCGCTGCAACACCGGTTCCTATGTAAATAAATAAAAAAGATATGACGAGAAAAATGGCTAATAGTCATGAACAGTCTTATTTAAAGTAATAGTAGTGTTAATGTAATAAATTAAATAAAGGTTACATCTTAATAGATGATATATTTCTCAAATGGGCGAAATAACGCCAAGCCAGAGAAAATAATATTAGCCAACTTTATACTTTACTTTGTTCTATTCTCGTCCACAAAACATTCTGTAAAATGAAACACTGCCTCAGCTTACCAGAGTAAAGTTTGTTAAATCCAGTATGTTCTTCAGGCACACTAATAAATTGTCCTCCAGAATTGCTCCAGGGTCCTCAGGCAAAATGTGGTGCAGAGTAGTCGAATCGCCGCAAGGTGGCGTTGAAGCAGTTGTGGAAAATACAGTATAATACACGAATTTTTACAAATACAGTACATCGCTGTATATGTTGTTCGACGTCACACTAAATTCCCATAATGCAACGGTAAATACAGTTATTTACCGTAAAAAGAATTTGCAGTATTACACTGGGTGAAATACAGTAAATAACTGTGTAATTTACAGAAATGTCTAACAGTGTGCTTGCATTTAAAAAAATAAATAAAATTGTATTTTTGTGTATGGAAGTATAAAATTGTATATGCAAAACATCATCAATGCACGGTGATACATCGAGATTGAACCAAATCGATGACATGATAATCAAAACTGAACCGTAGTACCAGTGTAGGTTTACACCGCTACCAAAAACATTCATGTCCAATTAGATTCATCCAAGAATAAGTTTTGCTCATCATCCTCCAAAAAATAATCTGCTATCGAACAATTTATATCATACTTGGGGCAACTCCATTGAGATTTATATGAAATTAGCTGTTTAAAACTTCACAATCACATCTTCAAGCTCATAACTTTTGATCTGGAATTCATCAATGCATACTATAAGTATCTAATAACCAAATTATTTTGACGCAAATTAGCCATAAAATGAATTCACAATAAGCTGGATATCTTGACATTCATTTTCTTTTCACTTAGTCCCTTTTTTAATCTGGGGTCGCCACAGCGGAATGAACCGGCAACTTATCCAGCATATGTTTTATGCAACGGATGCTCTTCCAACATCCGTCGTCCTTGAACATTAAATATTGCATTAAATATAAAGCATTTGCTGTGAACTAGCGGAACTAAACAGAAGTGCAAAAATAACCCTTTTTATGTTTGAAATTCTTTTTTACACAATTGACAGTTGGTCAGGTGATAAATTGACATTTTTTTGGTATGTTTTGATCATACAGTTGATGTCAGAATTATTAGCCCCCTGTTTTTGTTTTTTTTCTTCCCAATTTCTGTTTAATGTAGAAAAGATGTTTCATGACTGGGAAACCCATACACACTCATTCGCACTCATACTATGGAAAATTTTTTGGCTTACCCAATTGACCTAAAGCGCATTACTTTAGACTTGTGAAGGAAACCGGAGCACCCGGAGGAAATCCATGTGATCACAGGGAGAACATGCAAACTTCACACAGAAATGCCAACTGGTCTAGCCAGGACTCGAACCAGCAACCTTCTTGCTGTGAGGTGATCATGCTACCCACTTCGCCATTGTGACGCCCCACACAAATTATCTCAAGCTATTTTTATTTTTGAAGTAAGCATTACATCAACAGGAGACACCTTTGCTGATCATAATTTACATTTTATATTTAAAATGAATCATATATTTACCAGCGCATATTGGTGTATACATTTGCAGTACGTTCAACTGTAAACAGAGAAAAATCTGTTTTGTAACTAATCTTTAGCTACTTCAGTTACTGAAAATAAAAATATACAAATGTTGTTTGACACTGAAATGAGATTAAAAAAAAAAAAAAAACATAAGAAGACTTCTCTTAATCAGTTTTGTAAGTAAGCGTTATGTTTCCAGCCACTTTCAATTAAGAATAAAAACATAATTTACACTTGACTATGGAAGGAGATTTAAATAAGATTAATAAATAAAACATACTGTTCACTGGAAAAGTAAAGAAGACTGCGCTTGATGTTGAATTTACGGCACTTTACATTTTGCATCAAGGGAGTTCCGAGGCTTGGTTTTTATCAACATGCTTTGTTTAATCTGGAGGAAAGGCAGATGGTGCCTCTTAATTAATATTTAATCAACACTCGCTGAACACTGCTATCTATTTTGCTGAAGGAATTAACTTTAAATTTATATCCTTGCATGCAGCAGGGAACTTTAACAGAGGAGACGGGAACATGTTTCGTTTAACTGTGACGTCAACTTCAGCTTTAGCTTCCCTTAATTTTGTAACATTTAAGTGCAGATTTTTATGTATGCACTTTTATCTCTGATCCGTATATGAGGTTAAATATGTATTAAAGTTTAAGTGGCATTTGAATGTAGTAGGCAGTAATGGAAGCTTATCTGTTTGCATGCAGGAAGGAACAGATTGATTTAGTCGGCTTTTCCTCGTCTTTGAACATTGAACATTGCATTAAATATAAAGCATATGCTGGGAACTAGCGGAACTAAACATAAGTGCAAAAATAACCCTTTTTATGTTTGAAATTCATTTTTAGACAATTGACAGTTGGTCAGGTTATAAATTGACATATTGTTGGTATGTTATGATCATACGGTTGCAGAATTATTAGCCCCCTGTTTATTTTTTTCCCCAATTTCTGTTTAATGTAGAGAAGATGTTTTCAACACATTTCTAAACATAATAGTTTTGATGACTTATTTCTTATAAAAAAAATTCAACAGTTCTATACAGCTTAAAGGGCACCTAGTTTACCCCTTTTTAAAGATTTAATATTAATATTATGGTTCTTCTGAGTGTGCTAGTTTAGGTTCAGTTCAAAACACAATCCAGAGTTGTTTCATCATAATGTGTTGAAAAATGTTATTTTGGTGGCGTGTACACAGCTCGCTGTTTTAGGGGTGTGTTGCTTTACATTAAAATTAGCTTAGACTTCCCGCCCAACTTAACAAGGGGGCGGAGCCAAGAGCTCCCCTGCTCTGTGTTTGGCAACAGACAGGCAGACAGAGAGAAGCAACATGAGTGACAGGACAAGCATTCAGCCGTACATGTATGACTCGGACACAGACCAAGCAGAGAGTACAAAATCATTTGTGCCTCTGTATAGTTTTACAGTCAACTGTGTGCTAGTTTAAAGTTCCAAGCTTGTACCCCGAGACTAATAACCACGTACACTGAATAACTTTGACAGAGGCACTGGATGCACCGTTCAGAAGCCACAGACTTGAAGCGCCATTGTGTGTTTCCTGATAGAAACCTATGTTTAGAATTCTAAGTGCATGGCGCTGCGTGGTGCGACGTTTCGCGTCGCCGAGCGGCACTTCTGGTGTGCGACCTGCAGGTAAGTTCGTTAGTTTATTTTCAATGGAGAGACGCGCACGTGAGGCAACACACTCGCACTTTCCAGCTGCACCTAAGATCAAAGGGAGCTTCGGTGACCGCGAGAAATGCAAACGGCTGAAGTTTAAGGAAGATGCAATGAAAAGTACAGGTTTGCAAACCCACTTTAAGTTACAAACAATAATTCCAATGAGAGCGATCATGTGGTGAATTTTGATCTTGTGTTGAGCCCAATGAGCCTTACATGTAAAAAGAGAGCAAGTGTGTTCCTTTGATTACATTGCTTTGACTCGCACGCTAAAAATGACTGACGTGAAACAACAAACTGAGGCCATGGTAATGCAAGCCTGTCAATCAATATTGGTGGGCAGGGGGATCGCACTCCTACGTCAAGTTGGGGTCGATATAAAAACCGCTCTAAATGGTCCAACGTTTTTATTTTGTTAAATTGAAAAAAAAGGACTGGGTGTGTTTATATCTCACCAATATGACAATCTATTTACTATGCCTACACGTATGTCTGTCCAAACAGCCTGAAAAGTCGATTTTTCACCAGAGTTGCCCTTTAAAGTGACTTTTAAAGACTTAACTATGTTAATTAGGTTAACTAGGCAGGTAATGGTAATTAGACAAGTTATTATATTATGATAGTTTGCTCTGTAGACTATCGAAAAAAAAAATTACTTAAAGGGGCTAATAATTTTGACCTGGATTGGCTTTTAAAAAATAAAAACTGCTTTCATTCTAGCTGAAATAGTCAAATAAAACTTAATCCAGAAGAAAAAATAATATCTGACATACTGTGAAAATGTATTAGCTCTGTTAAACATCAGTTAGTAAATAAAAAAATAAATAAATCAAAGGGGGGCTAACAATTCTGACTTCAACTGTAAATATCAAAGTAAAAAAACAACAACAACAAAAAACATCTATAGAAAATAACAAGGATCTACGAATTTTGAACACTAAATGGATCATTATCAAAGTATTTTTTATTTTATTTTAACTTTAATAAACATGGAACTGCACAACCGGATGCACCAAATGTTTGACCAGGGAAAATTATCGGGTAAAATGGATGCAAAGGTATCAACCAAAAATTGGTCTTGCTACAGCAGTTTTCGGCACACTTATTTTATGGGACACAGAAACGGCTTTCACTAGATGCAGAAAATGGAGAACGTTCCTTGGTCACAGTTCAAAATAAGTCAGCATTTGGCGCTGTGGATCACACTTATCACTTATCACACTTAGCATGATAACATGTTGTAGATATGGAGGTTTAGTTTGTCGCCATGATTTAATGACATGAGTTTAATCTTGCATTGTTTGGCACACATAGTATGATTAGTGGAAAGAGTACTGAAAAATCATACTCAAGTAAAAGTACCATTACTTGCCCTAAAATATAGTGCAAGTAGAGTAAAAGTATCCATTGTAAATATTACTCAAAGTATTGTAAAAAGTAGCCCTTTCAAAAGTAAAAGTAGTGAGTATAGTACGCTGGGAAAGGTTGATGCGTTTACTTGTAATT